GGATCCAATCCACGAATCCATTTGGATCCAATCCACGAATCCGATCCAATTGCCACCTCTACTCTAGATCCATCGACAAGGAAAGGAAGGGGAGGCAAGTTTTTCATAACCGAAGTAGCAAAATCATGATAATTCAAGTCCGGGGATCAATAATAAGAACAAATGCTTGCACATTAGGTATTTCACTACACACCAGTAAGTTTGAAATTGATTATGCGAACAGCAAGGACCACCAGAAGTGCCACTTGCACCCAATTCTTTTGGGTATTAAGTGTAAAGACCAAATTTGGTTAAAACCAATCTCCTACACCTATCGACAAGTATAATAGAGGATTTTTCTCTCTATATATACGTAAAGGATACTTAATCCAAAAGTAAAGTGTGCTAGCAACGAACCAGCCAAAGATACAAAAAACAAAATAAAAACGAAAGATAATAGAAACAAAATCGACAAACCAATAAGTAGGGAGACACACGGTTTAACAAAGATAAAGAAGAACAACCTAACCAAAAGACACTTCTCACCTACCTCTTTTTGTTTCTTTTTGCTTCACCTGTTACCACCAACAAATTCATACTTACTAACCCATTTGGAGTTACGTTTTAAAGCCTTCATAGCATGGAGTGGAGAGGTGAAGTCTACGAATATCAAGTTCACACAATCAGAAAACACTAACTCAAGGAGAACAAGAACATCACTGGATGTGGAAAATAGGTTTCAGCATATAGAAATTGATGGTCTGAGACCGGATAGCAGTGAATCTCTTACCGTTGGCCACAATGTGAATACGAACAGACGGTCGGACTCGGAGATCGGAGATGAGACTGTCGGAGACGGGACAGCCGACGGAGATGGAAACGAAGACTGCCAGGGGTGCTTAGGGAACAAAGATGACGAGCGATTGTGGGTTCGGAATTTTGTATATCGCGGTCGGAGACACGAGACCGGCGCCAGAGAAAGATAAGGGATTCAATCGGAGGACGGGGCGCTTGCTGTGGGGTGGGGGGGAATGCTCGAAGTTTGTTGTTTGCGGAAGAGATGGGATGGGAGGAGGAAGATATTTTCCTTCCTCTCTAAAACTAGTGGACAGCCAAAAAAGTAAAGATAATGTTTTATTAGATAAAAGAACAGATGATACCGTAAATGCTACTTTCATCATTTCCAAATAAACACCTACCGTATTGCTCCCTCAATTCCTACGGTATTTCAATACGGTATTAAAATTTTATTATTGACTACTGTTTTTAGTAGGGTAGTTAATAAACAATTATTAACTACCGTTGTTAATACGGTAGTCAAGTAACGGTAGGTAAAAGTATTATTTCCTGTAGTGCTTGGAGCCCTCAAATTTTTAAAATTTGGGCATACATCAAGGCTCCAGACATCAATCACACTTGCACATTGCCTTCAATGGCGTAAGATAGAGATAGAGCGATGTTACCACATGGCTTGTGAGTGAAAGTTGGAATTTTTTCGGGGTAGGAGATTTGAGCTTCAAGGAGAAGACAAAACACACACACACACACACAAACACAACACATACTCACTCGAGGCGAGGTTATTACACAAAACAATATGATAGTAGTAGACAAAGAGAAATTTGCTAACCTCCGTTGGGTCGCCTCCCAACAAGCGCTAAATTAACGTCTTAAACTAGACGGAGACTTTGGACTAGGCATCTTGCAGGAACATCACCTCCTTTTGGGACATTACCTCTCCTCCAAGGTAACATTCGAGGCGTTGTCCATTCACTTTGAAAGTTCCTTGCTCTAGGTGTGAAATCTCAACCACCCCATATGGAAACACTTGTGTTACCGCATACGGGCCCGACCATTTCGATCTTAACTTTCCTAGGAATAATCGTAACTGGGAGTTGTACAAGACTACTTGCTCTCTCGGTTTAAAATCCTTCCCTCCTTTCAGTCGATCATTATGCAAGCACTTCGTCCTTTCCTTGTAAATCTTGGTATTCTCATAGGCCTGGAGGCGCCACTCCTCGAGTTCAAGCACCTGCAACTTCCTTTCATATCCACACAGAGTAGGGTCCATATTCAATAGCTTGGCTTCCCAGAAAGCTCTATGCTCTAACTCTAAGGTCAAATGACACGCTTTGCCATACACCAATAGGTAAGGCGAGACACCTATTGGGATTTTGTAAGCCGTACGGTACACCCATAGAGCATCATTGAGTTTTGCGGACCAAGGGATTGGTCTATAGTCTTTTCCAGAATCCTTTTCAATTCACTATTTGACAACTCTACTTGTCCACTTTTTTTAGGATGATAGGCCATTGACACCCGGTGGGTAACACCATAGAGATCGAGGATTTTGTCGAATTGCCCCTGAAAATGGGTTCCTTGATCTCTGATGATGGCCCTCAGGGTCCCAAATCGGGAAAACAGTTTTTAAGAAATCCGCAAACCTGTCTTGCATCATTGATGGAGAGAGCTTGAGCCTCGACCCACCTCGAGACGTAGTCCACAACAACTAGAATGTACTTGTTTCCAAGAGATGAGGGAAAGAGTCCCATAAGGTTGATGCCCCAAACATAAAAAATCTCACATGTAATGGAAAAATCATTTGGGGCATCTCATTTCGGTTAGACACATTACCTGTCATTTGGCAGCTGTCACCATGACTCACAAATGTTTAGGCATCCCGGAATAGGGATGGCCAATAGAATCCCAATTGAAGCACCTTCCTTGCAGTTCGGTTGGCATCATGATGGTCTCCAGCTGGTCCCTTGTATCAGTGGGTTAAGATAGCCGTCATCTCCTTCTCCGGGACACAACTCCAAATGAACCCATTGGCTCCAATCCGAAAAAGGTGGGGATCATCCCAGAAATATATCGGAGATTGGAGAAGAACTTCCTTTTCCCATTTACATTCATCCCCTTGGGCAGTTGCCTTCCAACCAAGTAATTGGCAAAGTCGGCGAACCAAGGGGCGACACTCTCAATAGTTGCAAGCACGAACAACCGTTCATCGGGGAAAGTGTCATTTATCTATCTTTGAGGGGTACTCCCTCACTGTCCTTCGAGTCGCGAGAGGTGGCCCGCCGCATGATTTTTGGCTCCTTTTTTGTCTTTGATCTCCACATCAAACTCTTGGAGAAGTAGGATCCTTCGGATTAGGCGGGCTTGCCATCGGCCTTTGACACACTACGACACAACACCAAACTGGCTCCGGCCACCGATTTGCGTCGACCTGCCTGGTTCCTGCCGCCGGAAATTTTCGGCCTACAGTCTGTGTTTGGAATTTTCGAAAAAATTCGATTTTAGGAGTTGAATTTAGCGTGTAAGAATTGAATTTAGAGTTTAGGAGTTGAATTTAGAGTTTAAGTATTAAATTTAGAGTTTAGGAGTTGAATTTAGCGGTTAAGACTTGAAATTAGCGCTTAGGTTCACAGGAATATTGATGTGTTATATTGTAATTGTAGGGAAAATGTCAGAGTGGTTACCGACCGATCATGATTACATACAGGAATTTGAGAATGGGATCCATTATGCAAGTGTGAAGTTAGCTGAGTTAGCTGCAAAAGCAATCGCTCAGGAGTGTGGGTTCTTTATTGTTAGAGGAGCATGGAAATCGAATACTGTTGGACTACATCCTGTTACTTCTCTCTGTATGTATTGAGACAGAAACAGTAGGATCGTTAAGTCTTATAAACCAGACCCATTGAAGGAGAGGTGTGGGAATATTAGTTCGAAAGGGTACTGGTTGCCAGTTTCAGATATGTATTAAGGAAGTATGGCAAGAGAATGGTCCAAACACATGGGTCATAGTGGGAGTGATAAGTCGTGTAACTGGAGCTAATAGAGGGTTTCACAACCATGAAAAGGTGTTGTATCTAGAACATCACCGACACAACAAACAGTTTAGTGAGGCTGAAAAAGAGAGGTTAAGATTAATGAGGAAGGCGGGTGTGAGACCAAATCAGCAGAAGATGACACTCAATACTGAAGGGGGTGTGCATCATGATATCAAACAGATTGTATTTTAAATGGCCCTAGTGTCATTATGAACTTATGGATTTCATTATGGATTTCATTATCATCATGAACTTATGGATTTCATTATGGATTTCATTATCTACCCTCGATGTTTTAATCATGAGTGTGCAAACATCCGATCCAAACATAAGTAGTCAATCATCAGATCTAAACATAAACATGGAAACATGCAGTCTAAACATAAACATCCGATCCAAACATACATAAGTACTCAAACATCCAATCTAAACATAAATATGCAAACATGCAGTCTAAACATAAACATCCGATCTAAACAAAAATAGTACAAATCATAAATGATCCAAACATCAAAACAATTAAAAATCCCCTGGGGGAAGCCCCGAGAGACCCAGTACTCAGTCCACACATCCTGCACTCCGTGCAGTGCCCTGTAGGCTCGTCGAGAATGCTCAAGAAACTCCTCCTCGGTCTCTGCTGCTGCTCGAACCGCAGGTGGAAACATGTACAAAAGGTCGCGAGCACGCTGCATAAAAAAAAACAAGAACAATTGTTAGTTTCACGTTAAGTATATTTATAATAGAGTAACGATCTAGTGGTCAAATCCTACCGCTGCGGAGTCAACTAATCGATCTGCATCTACATCATCCCGTAGGACTCTACAATGAGAGTGCGCCACGAACCAGTCAAGATAGTCGATCGTAGTCTCATATGGATACGTCGTCCAGGGCTGAGAGTACATGTCTATATGAACCATGTGGGATAGCAGAGCATCCCATGCAGCATTTAAACTCTCAGGAATCCGAATGACATATCCACCAGGTGCCTCTGGTCGGTCTGCTCGCTGAGGACGCGAAGGGGGAGGCGGTACCATCTGTCGGTATCCGAACTGTCGGAGGCAATGGGATGGATCATAGAACTCACCTATATCAGCGAACCGGATGTCTCCAGTGTACAAAGAGCGACGCACTTCCTGATGAGGCCTCTGATGGAAAGGTGTCCAAAACACATAAGAAGAGGTCAAGCTGTCAAGAGCTCGACGGCGCCAACCTCACACTGGGATCAGCCACAGAACCAGGTACCAGCTGCCCAATCCATCGTGAAGCCCAAGCCTCATCAGGTCCAACGACGGGTGGCTCGAAGTGAGATGGCCTGAAACCCGGAAAATACTCGTAGATCCAACACTGCAGAAGTGTGAGACAACCAGCCACCCCCTGGCACCAGCACGAGACGCCTGACCAATGTATCTGTACAACCAAGCAAGTGTACATGACGCCCAACTGTACTGATCTACCTATCCCTACTCTTGTCCACAAACAAAGTGGACCGCAACAGCAACAACAAGTACGACTGCGCCTCTGTCACATGTGTCCCGTTCACCTGCAAGTATCTGGACGCCATCTCCGCAAGAAAACCACCATTCTCGTACCACTTACCCCTATTACCATATCCAGGGGCCTCCGAACGACCACTTAACTGCTCCGAGTTTATCCCAAGAAGCGCACACAAACCCACCTCCCGATGGTCAAGCTGCGCAGAAGTCCTACTCATCAGTCGTCCCTCAACAGGAATCTGCAGTAAGTACTGAACATCGTGGAGGAGGATCGTCATCTCTCCAAAAGGCAAGTGGAAGGTGTTCGTGTCTGACTGCCTCCTCTCCACGAAAGCTAAGATCAAAGCCTCCTCAATCGCTATCTTGCGGAACATAGAGTAGATCATGTGCGGGAGACCTGACTGCTGAACCAGATCCTCCGCCTCAACATGACTAAACACGTAGCTACCCAGATAATCAACCGCCGACGTACGGCTGTAGCAACTGATGACCCCTCGATCTCCAACCCCCGTCCAAAGCGCATAGGAAGCGTGGTCACGAAAGCTCCTAATGAGGCTAGGATCCGTAGGTCCACCAGGACACTCACCAACAAGCTCCCACGGTGGAGGACCACTCGAACGTCCTCCCCTACTCCGTCCAGTCCCCGAGCTTTCTGTCTCCTCACGAGCAGGTGGTACGAACCGCCCAGCTCGGTCCCTATACATAGCAGGACGTGATGTTGCTGTACAAGACGACACTCGTCCATGTCCATGCGTAGGTGGAGGGACCTCGATATCCTCATCAGTATAGTCCTCATCAAACTCAGCCGAGACCACTCTCGATGCAACACCCTGGTTCCTCCCATGGGAACCAGACGCCCTTGATGCCGAACGAGCAAATACAGTAGGAGCCTCTAACTCATCCTCCCTAAATTTGCCTCTGACTAATGTCCAATATCTCGAGAGCGCTTCTTCTCCTTATTCTTCTTAGGCACCTTCCTTCGTGTTGATGCATCAACAATCCTACCATTGAATCTATGCAACTCACTCCCACTCGCATCATCCATATCTAATTATCTACAGATTTGCACAATATCATACTTAGATGCGCACTAATTAATTAAATTTCTATTAACTAATGTACTATTAACATTAATTGTTAATTAATCACAAATTAATTAATTTTCTATTAACTAATGTACTAAATATTAACATTAATTGTTAAATCAATTATTAATTAATTAATTTTCTATTAACTTATGTACTGAAAATTAACATTAATTGTTAAATCAATTATTAATTTTCTATTAACTCATCTAAGTAATTAAACATTCATACGCCTATTACAAAAAAAAAAATATTAACACTAATTGCTAATTTCTATTAACTAAATAAGTAATTTTTTATTGACTAATTAATTAACATATTAAATTAAATGCAAAAATCGGTCGGGCCGAAAAAAACCTGCAATCGGTGCGTCGCCGGACCGGAAAAAAATTTTGGTCGGTGTGCCGCCAGGGCGAAATTTTTTTTTTAGGCCGGTGCGACGCTGGACCGAAAACTTTTTGCGGGCGGTGCACCGCCCAGCCCAAAATCTCTTTCGGCACGACATCGCTCCGACCGCAAAAAAATTTCGGCCGGCCGAAGAACACGACGCAGGAAAAATTTTGGCCGGCGTGTTCGGCGACCGGCCGAAAAAAATTTGCGGACGAGGCGCCGACGGGTCGAAAGAAATTTTCGGCTGGCTTCACGTCTGGCCGAAAAATGCTTTCGACTCGACGGCGTTCCGGCCGTAATGTTGTTTCTGCCCGCCGTGTTTTTCGCCGGAAAACTGGAAAACTTGCCGGAAAAAGTAAACTTACTTGTTTTCTGACGATTGAGGGCGATGGGAGGTTGGCCGGGGACGGAGGAACGGTGCAGGCGTCGGAGCCACTTGTTTTCCAACAGAAGTTTTTGTTGGAATGAGTCAAATGTTAATGGTATCCGAATTTATAGAATGCTTGGAAGGAAAATTCAAAATTTGAATTCAAATTTTTTTTTTTAGTTGGCGGCAAATAGCAATTTGGTTGGCGGCAAATAGCCGTTCACTAGTGGAAGACCTCCTTTTTTAGGTTGACAAATTCTTTTATCCTGCGGATTTTGTTGTTTTAGACATTGAGGACGCAGAAGTGCCTCTTATACTAGGTAGGCCTTTCCTGGCCACCGCCAAGGCTCTTATTGATGTGCATAATGGGACCTTGGTTTTCAGAGATGGTGAGGAGCATATAACTTTTTCTATTGCTAATAACATAACTGCTTTCTCGCCTGTGCATGCTTTATCTCATCATGTGCACGAGCCGGACGTCTATCCTTATATGTCTCCCATTTTGCAAGAATCTGCCCCCATTCCTTCTCCACCACTCCCGTTCTCTTCATTACCGAACTAGAAACTCAAGGAAGAGTGTAGATAACTTTTTTCGAATAAAAGACCGTGTTTCCCAACAACGGTGCCAGAGAACTTGACTCGCTACCAGCTACTCAATCCCAACCATAGGCCAAGCCGGGTGCAGTATAGAGTAAGTATTTCAATTATCAAACTCCGGTGATCTATATACCCTTACTTCAATAATCTATAAATTATCTAGCAATCGAAACACTGTTTCAAGCTAATTAACTAAACAAGCAAGCAATTAAAATAAAGTTGAATTCAATTAAGAAAAGTTCACTCAGACTATACTTCCCCTAGTCTTGTGCTGAGATGCAAATATGATACTCTAGTGTCTGATAGGTAAACTTCATATACCTTTAGGAGATCTAAAATACTAAGGACCCTCTATTAGAGTGTATCCTAGCCTGCTTAATCAATCCAATCGAAGGGCGTACAACACAACCGCAAAAGATGACTAAGACAAACATTTCAACTCCCTCGGTGAATAAACCGAAATGACGTAGAGTCACCAATCACAACGATTCATGGTGCTCTATGATGATTGAGGAGTGACACTAATTTCCATTAGGAGATTTTCTCCCCTTATGTCAATTTTCCCCAAAATTGAGGGATTTGATCAAGAACACTCAATATGCATGAAAATACCTCAATCAATATATAAATAACAATACTCAACAATCAAAGAGTTCACAAACTACATTCTATAACATCCTAGACTAGGGTTCACATCATCTAAGTGAATAGAGGAACTACTCCATAGCTAGAAGAGAAACAACAACTAGAATAGAAGAAAACCCCATGGGAAAGTGATTCTTACTCTTCCAAGTTGCTTGGAGATGAAATCTGCTCTCCAAAGGCCTTAGGTAGTTCAAATCCACCTTCAACTCTTTCTTGCTCGTAGCTCTCTCTAGGTTTGAAGAAGAACTCTCAACTCTCTCTCTAGAACTCCTCTTAAGAAATATGATATCTCTCATCTATACAACATGCGAGTGCGCGTTTCGCAATGGCACATCACGCTCGAGAAGCGTGCAACAAAACTGTGATGTCAGCGCAAAATGCGACGTTTCATTAACACGGTTCACGGGTTCGCTGCTGACTTCACGGTCTGGGACCATGATCCTTGCTTTGTCCGCAAGGGACACAAAAGCTTCTGCGTCAACATCACTATTGCTGCCAGCCCATGATAACTGCACTTTTCTCCACTTTGCTCCCTTTTGATCTATTTTGTCCGACTTTTGATCACGTTGCCTATTCTACCTGTTAAGGTCTGAAACATGCCAAAATAAGACCACACCTAGCATAAAATAGCTCAAAGGACGATGCACAGTAAGTCAAACGACACAAGATAAGGGGTATAAAAGTGTACAATCTATCTTGAATCACAAGCAGGTATAAGTTAAGATAAATTTTTCTTTCATTCAACATTTTTTTAAAAGTGATTGACCTCTTGCTAAAATGATAGATCGTGTACCTTATATATTAATATTATCATGGGCATAAGTGGTTGACCTTTTTTCAAACTACGTTAACTTGTAAATCAGCGTAAACATACCCTATATTATCGCGGGCGTATTAATCTCACACATTCATAAAAACTAAGATCGACCATAAGATTGACTGCTGCGATAAATCAAACCCATGTGCATGGAGGGCACGCTACTTGTGTTTGTAGTGCAGGCCTACATATACCGTCAAAAATGGGGCCAAGCACATCGCCGTAAAAATTTAGATTCCTCAAAAGTTTTGAGGTCATTCTTGTGACGAGAACTCGATGCAAATTTAGGTAAGCTCCCCATGTGATCTTCGTTTGGTAGCTTATGCCCTCCATTCCAACCATCCAAGTTAAATGGACCACTTCAACATGTCATGTGCCCACTTTCAGAGTCCTTTGAATTCTTTTTCAACATTTTCCCTTTGATTTTCCCATCCAGCGACAACCTCCAAAACAACAAGTTGCTGGCTGCAAGAAGGAAAGGAAACCCTAGCTACTACCATAAACTCCATATTGTTGCATCAAATGCAATTGGACAGGGACCCGGATAACATAATTTATCGTTCACTAATCATGCACAATCCTCCATTTACTATTTAAGGAGTGTCTCTAAGTTTTTCTCCATTAATTTTAACAGGTTATTTCTCTTGCATTTTAAGTAATAATTTTTTTGCACAAAAAATTTGATTAATCGTGCACATGAATATCACACCCACTTTTATATATTTTGGAACAAAGAAAAACTGAGACATTTGTTATCAGTCCATACAATGTAGTAATACGTGGTAGTATATAAGATTATACGTGGCATAAAAATCAATTGAAAATTCATATGCCCCTCTACTGTAGATCACAATGAACTTGTTCCATTTGCGAAAAAAATTCAAATCTAAGTTAAAACAAGAAGATAAAAATCAATTGAAAAAATAAATAAAAAATTATAATCTCATTCGATATATCTGGACCCACTTAAAATTAAGGACTCTAGCGATATGCAGCCTATGTTGGACCAATTAGGGTTACACAATCCTAGAGCCGTGTTCTTGTTCGTTTTTCCTCTCTGATGGCAGAAATCTACCAATTTAGCCCAACTCTACTCAAAGTAAGAATTGGAATGGATAAGAAATGAGAGGTATGGCCATGCTCAAACTATTTTAAACATATATCATGCTTTTAGCACGTTAAAGGCCTAAACTTCAACAGATTGTGAATCGCCTCAATGTATGTTTTTGGCTAGAACAAAAGACAAATCCCAAGCTGGCTGCGGCTGTTGGGTAATTAATTAATTATAATCGCTTGGCTAATTACACAATCATACTTAACTTTCTTACACTATACCACAACTTAGAGGCAGAAATTGTTTACTGCACGTTCCATGAG